CGCATGGGGGTCTTTAGCAGTGGGAGGTCACAGGAGGACCCAGAGAAAGGGGGGTCTTTAGCAGTGGGGGGAAACCGGAGGACCCGGAGAAAACCCACGAGGTTGGACAGGCGACCCTACTCCTTGTCACGCACATGCAGAGAATCAAATTGGTGCCACTTGACTCAATGACAACCCTTATGATGTAATACACACATGTTAACCATTCGACCACCGAATTTATTGATCCTGTGATTTTGTCCCTTTCTGTTCTTTGGGAACATTTTTTAACATTTTGCATCTTATTTCTTCAGGAAAAAAACTAATTTAAAAAATAAAAGCACTTGGATGCATTGTTTTATACAAAACATCTTTCAATTGATTAAAATTGGCTATTTATTGATCCAGACCTTGAACAACTGAAATTTAAATTGATTTGTCCTCAAGGCCTTTTACTTGGTGGGTAATGAAGTGCATCTGTTGCACTCTCGAAAACACGATTAATTTGCTGCTAGTGTTTTGTACTCGTTGCTTCTGTTCGTTGTATTGATAAAATAAAACAACCTGTAATTTATTGTTTAAAACTAGAGACATTTAATGGTTGATGTCGTCGTTTGATAATTATTGAGGTTTACCATTCAATGATTTTATACAATGTGCAGGTTGTTTGGTTCGAACAAAGTCTTTATGATAAAATATTCAATATACCGCATACAGAAATAACGAATAGTGCATGATTTACCATGTGCAGCTGTTGTATTAAAATGAAATTTATTCAACAGTATTAAAAGTTTGTATTGATGGTGTGTAAAGTTTAACTGTTGAGTTTTAAAAGTCGATAAAATTTAAGATTGAATTACGCTGTTACAGTTTTGATAGTGTTTTGAGGTGTACACATATATGTTAAATAGTTGTACAAGATTATAATGCTGTTTTTATCAACAACGATCAGAGGATAGGGTCATGCTTTTAGAAGAAAACTAGTGATTGTATCCCATAAAAACTTGTTCTATTAATGTGTTTGCCGATTGCTAAATGCCACTCAAAGATTATGTTTTTAAAGTGTTTTGAGATTTCCACATCATAGTTGTACAAGATTATGGAAAACGTTCGTAAAATGTAAGTTTCTTAAAGTGTCAATTTCTCATTTCACTGAACACCATAATTAAAGGTAGGTTTAAATACGTAAATCAACCACCAAAATGTGATGTAATAGATTATTTCACTGGTCTGAAAAATCCAAATATTGAAGGGCGTAGAAATGATTGCTAGAATTTTGGACTTAATAAGAAACTGTTCAGCTGTGAATGTTAATAGACAGAGTATGGAGTTGTACGATACCCCCTGTTGTATATACGGCTATACACCCCTGTTGTATCTCCCGATTAGATTTTATTACATACTTCGAGAAGGTATTTGTTGAGTAATAAAACCTTGTAGTAGTTTATCGAGGGCTGGCCGTCCTTACCGCACGGTACAAATATTATCGCCACTAGAAGCAACAAATTCCAGAACAAGCCAGAACTCATACCAAAATGGCCGCTTTATACAAATGAGTATTTAGGGGAATACTAACCCGAACCCTAACCCTTTTAAGAGAAGTAAAACCTAAATTAGACCCAAGTTCAGTCTTTTAAAAAGGGTTAGGGTTAGGGTTAGTTATCCCCAACTATTTTGGACTCCGGAAGCACCCGAAGGTTTTATTTGTACCGTGCGGTAAGGACGGCCAGCCCCCGATAAACTACTAGAAGGTTTTATTACTCAACAAATACCTTCTCGAAGTATGTAATAAAATCTAATCGGGTGGTTGTATATACGGCTGTACTACACCCTGTTGTATATACGGCTAATGTATATTTATTTTTCGCAATAGAAGAAACTGTAATACACTATTATATATTGAGTATATTTTTGTAACTAGGCCGTGTTTACGCTGCAGGCTATGTAATAATTGATGTAAAATACGATAATTATACAGTCAGTTTTATTGTATGAATTTATAGGTCAATTTATTCAAATCCTAATGTTCTGTTTTTTTATGATATAATTTTAAACGTATTGAGGTTGGTGATAAAAGCTGTAATGTAACAGCGTTATAATTAGAAACTATAAAATGTATTCAACTTATTCATATTTTGTTACGGTTCTGAGTTTATATTTTATTTAATAGATTTAACCACCTCAATGTTATAATACGGTTTTGAATATATTAAACTATTATAAGTCCTGGATATATTAAACTATTATAAGTCTTGGATATATTAAACTATTATAAGTCCTGGATATATTAAACTATTATAAGTCTTGGATATATTAAACTATTATAGATCCTGGATATATTAAACTATTATAAGTCCTGGATATATTAAACTATTATAAGTGTTGGATATATTAAACTATTATAAGTCCTGGATATATTAAACTATTATAAGTCTTGGATATATTAAACTATTATAGGTCCTGGATATATTAAACTATTGTAGGTCCTGGATATATTAAACTATTATAGGTCCTGGCACCTGTTTTGTATGTAATTTTCATCAATACAGATATATAGATGACAATAAATCGATTCCCCGATTGAACGTGACAAGCTGTAGCGTCGCCTGTCCAACTTCGTGGTTTCCACCCACTGATAAAGACCCCTGCGCGCAAGCGAATTATTGGAATAAAATTGAACCCTATGTTAGTCCCAAAATGACCTAGTTTGTGTCAAGTGGACCTTAAACCCCATCTCTCTCTCTCTCCTTTTCTCTCTCTCTCTGTCTCTCTTACTGTCTGTTTAGAGAGTAAAATATTCATCATTTTGATTTATTAGGATTCTATGTAATTAATTATATTAAAGAATTAAGCAGAAGGTGAATAAGTGTGGTTTAATTAGGATAGTCAATTAATTAATTATCAACACCTGGGAAGTTTGACTGCTGAAAGGAAATTTGCCAGTGTATTTATCTGGTTAGGTTAATGCTAATTTGTCTTTAAGCCAAATTCTTAAAAGAGGAACTCGTAGTTCTTGGGAAAAAAATGTTCTTTTTTATCACTACCTGTATGTTACCTGTATAAAGATGTTTAAATGGAACTTCACACCTGATTTTCATACCCAACAAAGCGATCTCACACCTGATTTTCATACCCGACAAAGGGATCTCACACCTGCATATGTCTAGATATTTGCATATGTCTAATAATTTACATATGTCTAGATATTTGCATATGTCTAGATATTTGCATATGTCTAGATATTTGCATATGTCTAGATATTTGCATATGATGTCTTGATATTTGCATATTTCTTGATATTTGCATATGATTTGATATTTGCATATGATTTGCATATGTCTATATATTTGCATAAGCCTAGTTATTTGCATAAGCCTAGTTATTTGCATAAGCCTAGTTATTTGTATAAGCCTAGTTATTTGCATAAATCTAGTTATTTGCATATGTCTAGATATTTGCATTTGATGTCTAGATATTTGCATATGTCTAGATGATAATTGAAATACTTGGCAGAGTAAGTGATCTTTGATTATGAGAAAGGAAATAAGAGTTAACGAAACACTTTGATACCAACTAAGAAAATACCAATAAAACATGACAGTAATCTATGAGGGATTAATTGTTTTGTACAAGTTAAAAGAAAAATAAAATTCTTGCCAAGTTGGAATACTTGATTTGGGTGTGGTGCCCAGTTAAATTTAATGACTATCAGGTAAAAATTAAAGGTATTCAATGAAACATTTGTACAAGTGGAAGGTATGCAGTTTAAAGGTCTCGAGTTCTGTTTGAGAAGAAAGTATCAATTTGGTTTGATGTGGAAGTCTATTCATAAGATCAGGACATGACTTTGATGTAGAAACAAATTTTAAATGAGTTTTACCATATGTAAGAAATTTTTTGATTTAATCGTGACCTGTATGGTCTACAGTGATGGTGAAACTTTCAGGTGAAAAACATCCTTCAAAATTAGCATTAATTGAAACTGTGAAGGGATTTTTATAACTACAGCTAATGGCTTTAATTGTCTTGTTTTAGATGGAACTTTGAAGGAAAAGGAGACTCTATTCTTCCTGACCTTTAATTAAAATAGAAGGGATTTTTTATCTACAGTCAATAGCTGTGATTGTCTTATTATAGCTGTGATTGTCTTATTCTAGATGGAACTTTGAAGCTTAAGGAGATTCTATATTTTATGACCTTTAATTAAAATAGAAGGGATTTTTTCACTCTCAGATACACCTGTTTGACTCCAGATAGACTTTTTGACAGCAGATATATAGACTTGTTTGACTCCAGATAGACCTTTATTTGACTCCAGATAGACCTGTTTGACTCCAGGTAGACTTTTTGACGGCAAAAGGACTTTTTTGACTCCAGATAGTCCTGTTTGACTGCAGATAGACCTGATTGACTCCATATAGACCTGTTTGACTCCAGTTAGACCTGTTTGACTGTAAATAAACTTTTAAATCCAGATAGAACTATTTGACTCATTATACATCTATTTGACTACTGTTACACCTATTTGACGCCAGAATCCAGATTGACCTAGTGAACACTAAATAAATCTGTGTTGTGAAAACGATACCATAATTTTTTTTCTGAAGTACCTGTATAATTCTAGGGGTAACTATATGTTTAGGAGATCTTGTATTTAGACACAGTTTGTTTGAGTTAAATCTAAGGTATTTAACGTTATTAACAGCTGTATTATCACTCACATTGGACGCGTACAGCTGGTCTCCGGATCCATTCACTTGATTTGATAGTTGTTATTTTCAGCTTTCAATGTCAATAGTTCGGCTTATCCGCACGTTTGTCTCGTAGGTTTTGTTTTGCGTGTAGTGCGACACCCCTGCACTTACAATTGAGAAGCGAGATGACTTTAATTTTAGCTTTGGGCCAATGAAAAGTTGGCATTCTTGAAATGTTTTAGTTTTTAAGTTTTCGTGAATAAAACTCCTGAGCAATTATGCTTCTTTAAACTGTATTTTATAATTATTTTCTCTTAACTTTTTCAGATGATGTTAAACTGAACGGAATGTCGAAGATTTGAAGAACAAACATCAACTAGGACGGATAACCCACAAGAAAACATGTGCACATTTAAAAAAGATTTAGTAACCATGGCAATCGACATTTTGTTAGTTGTGTGAGAAATCTTAACCAGTAAATTTACTTAAAGTCATTACGTTTCGGCTCACAAGTTGTGCGCTAAAATCGAGATTCAGGATCTCCTCGAAAATCTTTGAACAAAGCAGACACGGTTTACACTTTACAGGTTCAAGTGTGCTGTTAATTTGTTAAGTGATTGTCGATTGGATAAGAGTGTAAACAAGACAAACTCTATCCAAGCTTTTTATTGGTTTACTGTTAAATCATCAACAGTTTGTGTTTGCGAACAAATTCAGTGTGTGAATTTTGTGCTACTGGAATATATGACATCATTACTTGACGGTGAATTCGAGCGAGTTCATTCAATTTGCGAATATTTTGTTTTGGATAAAAAGCTTGAAAAGTGTGTTAGAAATCTGTGAGCTGGCTTCAAGGATAGTTGATGAATCATTTTAAGGAGTGCTTTCATACCAAACAAATACTTTGTTGAGGATAAATCAAGAATATTTTCTTGTGTGTTGTTACATTGATTATCAACAAGTTCAAGTGAAAGTTTTATCTGCAAGCACAAGGTTTGGAATCAGACGGATAAAAAAAAGGTTTGGATTAGTGATTTTGCAAAGTAAAAGTAGACAAATTGCTATGTTTGTTGTGCCACGTGGATTCGAATGAAATAATACGATGTATTTTGTTACCGATTAACTTCGCGATGTTGTTTTCAATTCACGTTATTACACAGAGAGAATCGAACAAGGGGCATAACTATGATGACTCAAATTTCACCGGAGCCACGACCTTTGACACGTACAAATGTGACACGGCATGATAAAATCTGGGAAAAGGAAGATCCTTGTAATTTTTTCGGTTTTAATACAAAAGACTCGGCCTTTTCACCTCCGCTAAAACACATTACGCCAGATACAGCCAAGGAATTGTGGGAAAATTTTGATCCGTTGGATGTGTTAGATTCTGGAAGTGATTCGTCGTGTGATACTATGATAATGATGAACACTGCGGAAGAACTTCGTAACGAAGAAAGTATTCAACGCAGCAATCAAACATACGAACAATGCAAAATACAGCATGAGAATAGTTATAATTACGGACTGAAAAATCTCGGACCTTCCGAAGAAGATGATGTAACTATTGACGAGGGTTACGGAACCGATAATAGGACAAACACATCCACGTCACTTTCATCTCCGTTATCGTCTAGTTTATCATCGCTTTCCACTTTAGAAAGCACCTCAAGCCAAGGCAGCATCAATAGACTTAACCCACAAATGTCCCGAACTCAGCAAAATACCTCCAGTGGACGACCAGCACCAAATACCCGTCCCATAATGCCAGTTAGAAGAGTGACTAAGCCAGTAGACAATCACGATACTTCCGGTCAGTCGCTCGAGGAACGCTTACGTGCGTTGACCACAATCGAGGAAGAAGAACCGAGTGGTTCTGATCAAGAGAGACCTGGTCGGTCCAGAAGATCTTCGGAAAGTATTCAAAATCGTGGGAATTATTACGAAAATCAGGATGTTCGTAACGCAAACCGTCCTGTCGAGAACACTTACCAAAATCGTGGGAGTTATTATGAAAATGAAGACATTCGCAACGCAAATTATCCGAGCGAAACCCGTCACGATTCCTACAACCGAGGATCGTTAAAGAACAGTGGACAGTCTGTTAACTCAGATCAACATGGTATATTTCATGCGGTGCCCGTACAAGTAGGTTCGCAAAATAGAAAAATACCTGAAGAGAGTGACTACATCACCCCGACTTCTCCGACATCTCGTCAAGAATGGATCAATCGCGTAGAGAAGATGGGATACGTGCCTCATTCTGACGTCAAGTATTACGATACGTTGTGGAATGATAAAAACATTCAAATGGGAATGTCGGATAAGTTTGGTGACGGCAAACGAATTCCCAGTTTAGACAATGACATCGATAATGATCTAATTATTAAACAAAAACAGCGTCCAGACAATCATATGGTGTCAATGCCGGATTTACGTTTCGATAGACAATCACACCCGGCTGCTATTTATTCGAAAGACAGTGCTGTAAAGTTAAGACCTAAACCTCCTGCGAAACGCGATCGCTATTCATGGGGTTATGGTAGTATCGCGCAACCAGTAGAATTAGCCAATCATATGAATCCATCTGACAGATTATCAGATCGTGGAACAGAATCGCCACGATTACAGGATCAGCTGCGCGCAATGTCCGAACTTTCATTAGGCATAAAGAAACCATTATACGCCTCATCAGCAGATATTTATAAATTATTTCAGGGCCAGGGTCAAGGTCAGTACGGGTTACCTCAAGGTCGTAATGCATCACATCGTCATAGTTTCCATGCCATGCCGTCATCACAAACATGGCTACAACCTCCCTCTCAGTCGTCAGAGGAAGTGAAAATGAGGCTTCGTTCAGCCTCGACATCAAGTAAAGTGCCAAGTGCCCCTCCTAAACCCATGCGCGTAAATTACGGACAATTAAACCAGAGTGTAACATATCAAAGGGCAGATAACTCTGTACATGAACCGCCATCTTTAGTGAATGGTGGTCGAAGTGTTAATGATAATCCAGCATTGAAAAGTAAACTGTCAACGTTAGTTTAAAATGACATCATCTCTTTGATTTGGATATAAAGTAAATTATTGCAAAAACATGTGTATAGGCCTAAACACACTGACACTTTCTGCCCCCTAGAATCCAGAAAAAATTAATATTCCCTTCCCTATACAACACACAGGTAAAATTCACTGTTAGTCATCACGTAAACACCTGAATCACCACTATATTGGAACAGCAATATTTCCTTGGGAACTGACTTGGGTACAGAAGTGTGAGTTGTAAATGGGTTTTTATGTCATCAGTTTAAACATACATTATGCAAGAGCTAAATCTGCCTATTGCAGGTCTTTCTTTTGGGCTGAAATGGTATATAAACTATTAATTAGACATTGATTAACAAAACAAGACCATAATTAACTCTCTAGAGCATATGATGGCCGAGATTTAAATGGATTTAAACATCCTCAAAATTGAAAAATTTAACAATAAAATGGTTGTCAAGTACCATTGTTATGATAATAAACAATCAATGCTATATCTTTAAACAGTTATAACTTCACTTGGAATAAAGTAATTTGAATGAAATTTTCCATATATATCATGTTCTATTATCTATTTTTGAACTATTATAGCAAGAATGGCCAGCTCTTTATCTAAATCTTACACAATGTATCTTTTGAACTATTATAGCAAGAACGTAATTAGCTCTTTATCTAAATCTTATGTAGTGTATCTTTAATGAAATTTGATATTTGATTTGTTTTGTGAAGTGAGTGGCTGTCTAAATGTGAAATATTTGGGTATAAATATTTATTTTGTTTTGTAAAGTGGGTATATATATATTTACAGTTTATTTTTAGATTCACAGACGTGTAGCCAATGTTGAGATATAAACTCTGTTCAACAATCAACAAATTTAAGCCAAAACCGAAATAAAATCTTAAACTTGCAAAAAATAAAATTGAAAAATGTTAAGCACCTCTTTGTCTTACGAAGTTTGGCGTTGAAACCCTGATAATATAACCTTGGAATAACAAATCTTATTTACAAGACTACATCTTTGACAATAAGAAAACGTATAAAGTTTATCTTGTTTGGAAATTTTCATCATGATTCTGAAATAAATCTCAAGATGCTGTATTTGAGCTAAAAAAAGAGTAACAATAATTATATAGAGGTGCAGTGTCAAAATGTTATTTTGTGTCCAGAGATAACATAATTTATTAGGAGTGGGTATTTTATCAGGATCAATGCTAAAGACAAATGTTTTTTTTATAATTAACCGGCATCTAGTAACTGAATGAGACTAACACAATTATAAATGTCTCTAAAATAAACTTTTAAGTAACTTGTCTTCCATATAATTGTGCTGTGTTACGAGGAGCAAATCTAGAGGGGGTGTTTGGGATGGGCAGTCAAAGCGCGAGATAATGATATAGGCAATTGTGGTATCAAAATTAAGGCTTTTTTGCATCAATGAAATTGAATCATTGGTGTATATTTAGATTTTATCCAATCACAAAATGACAGATTCAAGATTAAACCAATTCAATATTCTATTTTAAATTGAACCAATTTATTTTGAATTTAAATGAAAGAGGTTTAATTAACTATTTTAAAATGAAAGAGTAATTCAGTAAATATTTAGCCTATATTTGTTTTTATTTGCCTGGCTTGTTTTGTTAGTGGAAAGTTTGTGTATAGATAGAATTGTACAGAGGTGTTTAGAGGAAGAAAACTTTTAACGTGTGAATAAAAAGAACGTATTATATTTTGTTGAAGGAAATATTACGGTTTGGACTATTTGTTCTTCCAGATCTATATAAATAAATAACCACTTGAATCATGTGACAGATGTTTTATTTAAAATTTTGAAATGTCAAAATTTAAAACTAAAAGTTTTTGACCAGTGCAACCAAGTACTTTTGGTTTTTCAATTAGTCTGAAGAACTTACCAGAAATTTTAACATTGCAAACAACAGAATATTAAATTGGTCTGGTCTTAATTCCATTCTCTGTTTCCTGGGGATGTTGTCATTTAATTTGTTTATGTAATTCATCCATCGTATTGGTGAGTCTGATTTAAGACACAGATCTAAATTGGTGATTTGGTAGGCCTTACTCTTGGTAGACTTCTCTTCTGTTTAATATAACACTACGCAGATAATACATAAGATAAACAGAATACTTCAAAATATCAACAGTCGATCATTTTACATAATCAACAGAAACTTTGTAATTTAAATTCCTTGTATCATATTTATATGAATTCATGTGTGGATATCATTTTGTAAGTAGAAACATTTACATATATAAAAAATCTAGGGGTTTTATATAGTTTAGTATGTTTTATTCTTCTGTAGATCTATTCTAGAAAATGTGAAGAATGGGTCAGTGAATATATAAAGGGGGACAACTCCATTTAGTGACCTCAAAATTAGTTCCCGGCTAATCATGATGTTCAGCAAATTTAAAATTTCTTGACTAATAATTTTTGGGGTTCAGATTTAATAAAATAAACATTACTGCTTATTGAGATATAATTAGTTACCATGGTATTTAGTAATTATATTGGAAATACCCAGGACAACATTTCCAAGGAATACAAGTACTGTTTATTACTGAGAGAACATTTTAACTTGGATTGAGAGAGAGAGAGAGAGAGAGAGAGAGAGGGGGGGGGGGGTTAAGCCCACTTGATACAAACTAGGGTCATTTTAGGACTAACATATAGTTAAATTTCATATCATTTTTTCTCATTCACAAAGGATTCTTTAGTTGTTTCTCCTTTGTGTAGGAGTCTATAGCAGTGGGAGGAAACCTGGAGAAATCCCACGAGGTTAGACAGGTCACCCTTCTCCTTGTCATGTACAAGTTGGGAATCAAAACCACGACACTTGACTCTGACCGACACTTGACTCTGACCGTGTGATCTAAATAGACCCTCATTAATAAAACAGTATTTGTATTCAATAGAACTGTATCTGGTGTATTATTACAATTAGACATTAAAATACAGATGTGACGTCACCCTTTGATGTTGGCGTACCATTATTTCAAATAATCGTACGGGCAACTTGCCAATCGTACCTTGTCAAATATTAGACTCGAGTGACGTATTTCACTGTAAACGCACGTGCGGAGTGTCTGTATTTTAAGATGTTTAATGGTCTCGAGCTGAGACATTGCGTAATATATTGTAAAAACACTCGGACCTGACGGTCCTCTTGTTGTTACAATATATTACTTAATGTCTCGCTCTCGACCATTAAACAATACTTAATGTTTATTATTATTGATATTGGGAGTTTTAATTTTATATTTTCAGTTTAAGGGCAGGGAGTTACTATCATCATTTTGAAAATGAATTAATATTTTACCATACTGCACCCATACTTGCATAAAATCAAATCAAAAAGCAACAAATTTTCAGTGACACAAACTTCTCTCCATAATTATATTTGTTGATTTATTTGTTATTTTGGCTGTTCGGATTTCCATATTTTTACTTTCAGATTCTCACTGAATTTTTTTTTTATTTTAAACATATAATATTTATTATGAATTTGTACATTTAATTATTTCATGTGTTTTTAGTAAACCAATATTTATAAAAATTCTGAAATAAATCTTATAATAATAAAATGGAATTATTTTTCTTTTGCTTTCTCTCGGCTTCTTCAGGGTGGCTACAAGGGTAAAAAGTACTAAAATATATTTTACCTTTTTACCAAGACTAACATATGTTAATTTATTTCTCTTGTGTGATATAGCAAATATGGAAGATTATGCCCATGTTTCCACTTTTCTTAATCGTAAGGTCTGTCACTGAGTCAACAGGTGTGGTTTTGATTCCCCGGTTGTATGTGACAAGAAGTAGGGTCGCCTGTCCAAACTCCTGGGTTTTCTCCGGTTTCCAGCCACTGCTAAACCCCTAATGCGCAAGCCAATTATTGAAATAAAATTAAACCATATGTTAGTACCGAAATGACCTAGTATGTGTTGAGTGAGACACGTTAAACCCCATTTCTCTCTATCTTGACTTATTGAGTGCAGTATACTAGTTCCCCCCCCCCCCCACCTCCTTTCACAACATATTGAGTGCAGTATATAAGTTACCCTTCCTCTGGCAAAAGATTGAGTGTAATATACTACCTCCCTTCCTACCCCTACGACAGATTGAGTGACGTATACTACCTCCCTACCCCTACGACAGATTGGGTTTAGTATATTGTCTACCCCACACTGAACTCGCAACTGATCTATGGTGTGGATTACATTACATTCAACAGAAGGCTGGGGTGGAATTTGTGTGACATCTAGAGAGATGGTATCAGGTGTTCTAGAGAGTGTTAAAGCACCCTATCACCTGCGTTAACGCACCCTATCACCTGCGTTATATCCACCTCTAGTCACAGCTAATATGGAAGTGGTATCGAGTGTTTTACAAAGAGTAAGCATACCCTGCCCCATGTATGACACCACCCAAGAGAAGTGGTATTAGATGTTCTAGAGAGAGTAACCATACCCCCTGCCTCCAAGTTGTAGCTAAATAGAGATATGGTTTGTGTTGAGATGCTTTATAAATAACATCAACAAGAAAAACAATTAAAAATCTTTATTTTAGCAAAAACATAAAATAAATACTTTGTTATATTGACACTGATATATAAAAATAGTTTCAGTAGATATAACATTGATAGATATAAAATTATTGTACACTCTCAAATAATTCTCTGGTCCTCAATAGGTGTATATGATATATAGAAGCAGATGCACACCTGTATATGATATATAGAAGCAGATGCACACCTGTATATGATATATAGAAGCAGATGCACACCTGTATATGATATATAGACGCAGATGCACACGGTCGCGATAATCGAGAAATGTAAAATTATTTACACAATTGTTTAAGCCTATGATGTGATTCTCGATTCCATGAGATAATATATTTATTGCATCAAGACGTTCATTAAGGACAGTATGCTTACACTACATTTAAACAGAAACACATATAGAACACGTTACTATGATATAAGTTAATAAACAGACAACTTTATGGCTAACATTCACTAGGTTTATTAACTGCAATGAGGTTACTCTCACCGTTAATATACCCAGTGAAAGTTATCCACTTGTATATAACCTTCTGTAACATGTTTTATTATATCATTGCTTGATAACGATGAAAGTATCCTCATTGAAACGTTGCAGTTTATTTAACCTAGTGAAAGTTATCCATAAAGTTGTCTGTTTATTATATATCGCTTTCACTAAATGCCTTTCAAAGATACTATATGATATAAGCTGATGTAAGACCATCCTCGGAATCTCCAGCAGTATCATTCCGTTTTACTCCACTATCTGGTTGTATAACCTGAACTTAACACAGTATAAATATACGATTTGTATGAAATAAATATACAATTTAAAACATAAAACATTGATAATTAATGTTTCAGAGTGTTCTTTCAGGAACTTAAGAAATATCTACAAAATATACACTATACAAAATATATTAAATTATTTCAAATCAAAAACTTAAAAACAATACTAAAATAATTTTAAAATCAAAATACTAAAATAATTTTAAAATCAAAATACTTCATTTGTGAGCAGAATGTTATAATATAATACAGAAAAATATATTACATAATAATTATAAAACTTTATACTGGTGGTACTACATATAGAAGAACATCTTGACAAGAGATGGCTATAGTACTCCCAGGGCTTAATCTGGATCCTTTTGATAGGTTCCCCCCACCTAGAAATAAAATTATTTACAAATCAGTAACGTGTATTTTTGGTTATATAATTATATATTACGCTATCTGCCTGCCTCCTTCTTTTGCAGGGAGTTCCAAATTTTACGAAGCTAATGGCTGGAACCGTATCACAGTGCCCCATTAGGTTGAACAGATTAAATACAGCATTTTGGAAACCTAAACATGAATGGGAATAAATTTTAAAAAAATCACAAGACATGCAAGCAACATTTAATAGATATATCGTTTAACACTAAGAGTAATAAGATCCCTCAATAGATATATAGGCAAGTGACTTCTGGTCATGATATCATGATGACTCTTAAGGCAAACTTTATCTACAAAATTTCTTATTGTAGGGTGCTCCAACATACATAAATATCTCCAAATATCTCGACAATTACACCACAATATCTATATATATATACCAATCCTTATAAAAGTTAAATGAAACTACTGCTAGTATCATGTTCCTGTCTAACCTGAGTTTTTCAGAGATATTATTTGTACTAAACCAAAAGATGTCGCTCCTAATGGTACAGTTAATGATAAAGCAATTTAAAAAATAAAATGAACGTAATTTCTAAAGCTGCTGTCATAACCAAAAAGCTAAATATTACTGCCATTCAGAATCTTCAACAATAGATCTTTTACGACTGTAATAGTTGATAGATGGCTATTTATAGACTTAAAGTGGGTGCGTGACTAGCCAGAAATCACTTCGAGACAAGCCACTGAAGCGTGTAAATTCACGGTGTGTCGAGTACCACTTTTGGTAGAGAAAATTTTCGGCACAAGGGGCACCCTATTTATTGACCTACATTAAATGAAATGAAATGGGGTTTAACATCCTACTGTTCTGCTCCGACTGGGCTAATGAAAACGAACCTGACATAATATCATATGCATAAATATCAACATAAAATCAGACAGCAACAAAATTATAAAAATATATAAAATAAATCAACATTTATCAGATACATAAACATACATAAAAATTATCAAAAGAAATTCAGTGGTTCATTCTGTAACAAAACAAAAAGAGAGCACACTTGCTTGAACCACAAAAAAATAAAGATTTCTGGAGTAAATAAGGCAAAGTCAGTTCAGAAAAATAGTCCACTCTTGTTTGGTTTGATACTGAATGACTCAGGTGGTTCATTTATAGGTAGATTGATTAAAACACAGGTAGTTAAAAGGTTAAAGGTTAAAGGTTAGAGTCGTTCTGTAATCCAGTTTATGATATCTTCTCGAACTTTAGCTCCATCAGATCCCGGTTCATTGTGAAGTTGATGATAATGTTTAGGGTAGATCTGAAAAAAAAAACACACGAGGTACATTATTTATTTAAACAATGGGAGCCGCAGTGGCTTGGTGAGTATGATATTGATTGGTAATCTGGAGGTCCAACATTCGATCACTGTTGTTGGCTGTGAAAGTCCATTAGGATTTTCTGATGTGGTTCCCCCTTGTCAGTGGTGCAAGTCTGAAGAAATCCTGTGTAAACACTGGCGTGCACCTAAAAGATCCTCTGACAGTTGGAATTCGAATTAAGAGTAGGCTGTAGTACTGATGTATGGCGTACATCAGAACAGAACAGAAGGTTGTTAAACCTTATTTATCAATATTTAACTACTTTATGAGTCAGTTGTACATTTATACATAACAGGGGTTTCTAATCTGTGGCTTGTGGGTCACAGTAGGCCCTTGAGGCTCATCAGTGCTGCTTGCTACTTTTACCCACAATGACAATGGATTGTGCCCTGAGTAGGCCTACTTAAAACAATTACTTTTGTTCAAAATTTCAAAACTTAAAATGTTGAACTAAAAATTTTTGAGAACATTAACCAATTAATTTTTTTATTTAAAATTTTTGTTTGTTCCCACAAGAAATCAGAAGAAAAATTTGTTTTGGCCTGATGAACTTTTTTATACCTTTAATGTTTTATCTTTACTTTGTGCTTTTTCGTCCATTTCTCTCGAACCTTGAACATCAACGATTTTATCTTCTTCACCATGGAGATTTAGAAACGGCCATGTTATATCCGTTAGATGATCTTCTATATACTTTAACGTATTTATCATACATAAACCCCATCTATAATAATAGTGATAAAACATGAGGAGATAATCTAATTGTGATAAAACAAGGGGAGATAATCTAATTGTGATAAAACAAGGGGAGATAATGTAATAGTGATAAAACAAGGGGAGATAATGTAATCGTGATAAAACAAGGGGAGATAATTTAATAGTGATAAAACAAGGGGGAGATAATGTAATAGTGATAAAACAAGAGGAGATAATGTAATAGTTATAAAACAAGGGGAGATAATGTAATAGTTATAAAAGGGGAGACAATTATATATAAGGTTTTATACAAAATTTGTTTGATGTTGAAACTGTGAACTCCACAAATGAGAAGGACATCATCTGATTGTATTACATGACAAGAGTTATTCCCCTTAACACAACATGGAGGGGAAATATACTGAGCGCCATGGAAAACGCATCACTTTTTTCCCAAATATTTTATTACTAGGTGGTTTTGTTTGTATAATATTATGCAATACTATGAACTATTGTTTCACACAATGCTCCCAAATGCAAAAAATATCGGCCCGTGTGCAAAAAAAAAAAATTGCACGAGATGCACATGAAAAACCCAATATTCACGTGCAGCATTGTGTGTGAGCGCTTTAAAAGCATGTTTTCAACTTAATGTGCAGTACATGAACTGTGAAACATCAATCTGTCGTATTTTGTAGTTGGACGTGTGAAGGAATCGAGCTAGAGATGCCGAGACTTATTGAAAAACAACGGAATGAAGCCATGGGAATGTCCAGGGCTGGCATGTCTACACGTGCTATTGCCAGACACTTCAATTGTCATCAGTCCACTATTGTAAGGTTGGTGGAACGTGTTCGAGTTACTGGATCAACACGTGACCGCCAACGTCCTGGCCCACAACACGTTACAACCCAGGCTCAAGACCGCTACATCCGGGTCACTCATCTGCGTGACAGATTCCGCCCAGCGACTCGAACAGGTGCAGCAGTCGTCGGAAGACAAGGACCAGTAAGTGCCAACACCGTAAGACGTCGTCTAAGAGAAGTAGGACTCCATGCACGACGACCTTATGTTGGAGCTATCCTCAGGGATCATCACCGTCAGCGGCGTTTGATAGGGGCTCAAGGACACCAGACATGGAGAAGAGTAGACTGGCAAAGTGCTCTTCAGTGATGAGAGTCGCTTTCATCTTTATCACGCTGATGGCCGTCAACGTGTGTGGAGACGTCTTGCAGACTGCTGCGTCTTCGAAACTAATCGATGGGATGGGGGAAGTGTAATGGTGTGGGGAGGCTTCACATTTCATCACCGGACCGCCTTACACATTTGCAGGAGTCGCGTTAATGCTGTATCCTAATCGTGATGATGGCCGGTGGAGGACACACGCGCTACTGACATCTGTGTCGTACTTTTGGTTTTGACCCCTCTGACTTTGTACCCTTGATTACAGATTAAACATCCATAAGTGTACAAATGTGTTGTTATTGATGTGTTCCCATTTGAATATTGTTCACAATAAGAAGCAAAATAAATAAGATATGTTTACAGGATCATTTTGTTATACGAAAAACTAAGTGATGCGTTTTAAATCTGTGCTTTACATATAACCCTATTCACATGTAGTAAAAACCTGAGACCAACTCATTTAAACATTGACGTGCATGTAATAAAAAACTTGAAAGTTGAAACGCAAATCAATGAAAAGTCGCTTGAAATGTCAAAGTCCTGGCAAAATTTACCAACAAGTGAACATACAAAAATACTAAAAATACATTATGTAAGATTTAGATAAAGAAGCTTGCCATTCTCACTATAAAGTTTAAAACTAGATAATGCAAAATGAATATACTGAAAATTTCATTTAAATTACTTTATTCTGAGACATGTTAGGACTGTTTGTAGTTTTGAAAAGATGTGTGCATTGATTGTTTATTATTGTAACCTCGGTGCTGGTTATTCGAATCTTAGCCTCGCTCCTCCATTTAAATTAAATCATTAAATGGCCGTACAGTTCTAATCTACTTAAATTAGATAGCATCAAGAGTTGATTATGGTCTGGATAAGTTAATTAATGTCTAATTAATAGTTTATATAGCATTTAAGGCCTAGAGAAAGACCTGCAATAGGCAGATTTAGATCTTGCATAATGTATGTTTAAAGTCTAATTAATAGTTTAGGTAACATTTCAGGCCTAAAGAAAGACCAGCAATAGGCAGATTTAGCTCTTACATAATGTATGTTTAATATATTCAACTCAACTTACTTGGCCTTTAAACCACCGTGATGTACGAGTGGATCATCTGAATATTTCTTTACCTAGTAAAAACAACAAGTTATTTTATTTTAGGTGTTTTAACTAATACACAACAGGTCATTTCAATTTAAAACGCAGCTTGGAATTAATAAATGGTTTACCTAAACGTGAATTGAGCTTAAATCTTTTAAACTTTGTGGTTTCTAGCAGGTTATTTAAAATTTTTTTTTACTTTATCAACGAGTGTTGATATTTTTTGATATCAAAAAAGACAACGGCGTAGTGATACATCATTTTTTGACAGCAATTCAACCATTGCAAAGTCCTTTATATTGACCCAGTGTTTCCATCAAGGTCAATTGAATAACAATAGTTCATTTTTAATAAAAAAAAGTTACTTTTAATAAGAAATGAACTGTTCTTTGAAAATAAAAAAATAGTAGTTCCTTTTCAACTGACCAATCAAATTCATGTAAAGCGATATCTCCTAAGGAGATATCGCAGTAGATTATGAAATATATCACACTGGCGATATCTACTGTAGAATGTATTATTGGGTGATAAAAAGAGATTAGTAGACAACATAGAAAGTTGAGGTCATTCTAAACTTCAAACGCAAAAAACAATCTACAGGGTGTCTCTAGTGACGACAAATAATTTTGGTAGACTATATAGAAACAGATAGAATTTGTTACCACTTTGTAAAGACTGTAATTGTTATGTTTGAAGTATTATATACGGAAGACGAAAGAAAGAAATGTTAATAATAATCACCAGTTGAGTAGAACGTGATATTAAAGTTCTATCTATCCAAGCTAGAGTTAAACTAGGCCACATCCATGCTAACAATCTACATACAGTTAACTATAATACAGACACATAAACAAAAATACATTGTTACAAAACCATAAAAACAAGTACAGTGGACTCTGAATACTATGACATTCTATGGAATTCGTCATCAGTTTCAAGTTACGATTTCTTTCCTTTTTACTTCAGCCAAAAAAGTTTGAGTAATCCGTATTCTGAATATTACGAATTTTGACATCAATCAGCGATCCCGTCATACGATTTGAATTAATCGTCAATCCATCAGTGTTGACAAGTTGTAATCACCAATCAATTATTGGTGAGATTAATAATCATGTCGATCTTTGATATCTTGATATCAACAGAATGATGCATGAGTGGTTTCAACATCAAGGCCTTTAAACATTCTGCACACCTTGGCCAATTCTACGGTTTGTTTTTTTTAGAGCATTACTGGACCGATCATTGCATGATAAAAATGCGAGCGCTATAGAAACATAAAATAATAAACATTTGCCACCAAATACAACATCGATATACAACCGAAGAAGAGTACTTCCAGTATTGAGTATTCCGTCACACTGTGTAATCCGGTCTATTTTAACGACCCCGTATGATGTCGGAAGTGACAGATTCCACTGTACCAGCATACTATGGACCACAAACTGAGTATGACGTCATCACAGCCATCTTGGAATCATGACTTTACATAAAAAATTGAAGTCGCAGGCTTCTTTCGAACAGCGTCACCCTCAAGACCAACAAGATGGCCGTCAGTTGTGAACCAGTTTCTGATCCAAAAATAACTGCATCCAGGAAATAAGTAAATTTAACACATGATCTGAAAAGATCCTATCTCCATAGGGATTGTTAGTGCTAGTTTTGTTAAATAGAAAAAATTGGTAGCAAGAGCAGAAATATTTTAATAAAGCAGAAAAAAAAGTTGACACTAAAATAAGGTTAGAGAGATAGGCCTACAGCAAACGACTAAAATAAGTTTTTTTTTAATATAAAATTACCACAGCTGTATCTCGAGATATTTTATCTTGATCTAGATAAACTACCGGACATTGTGGACACAATCTGGCTACAACTCTCCCTACATGAATCTGGAAATTTATTGGATTATAATAATATAGGTTCCCAGGCAACAAAACATACACCAATCTGATTAAAACACAGATCCTATATCGTTTCGTTCAAAATTTTATTTTATTTGTCTTTACTACACTAGGATCTTGAAGAGTTGTTATATGGCATTCTAGTTGAAGTGAGGGAGTAGCCAATGAAACGATCTGTTACGACGAATTCTTGGCGTATGGTGCACAGAACTGTGGATAATCTACTACAAACGTCAATGTTGATAGACTGCTTATCTGATGATAACTTATGACTCTAGAGCTTGTGGATGGCCGACGAGAGTGTTAGGTCTTTTAGGATGATACATAAGTTATCTACGGAAAGAAGGATTGATGGTACAAGTCACATTGGTGGTGCTCGATTGGCAGTCCCGAACGTCCCGAATTGACAGAATTAAAATTAAGTGATACGGAATTCAGCCCTGTCACAGTTCTGGCAGCTGAGGTGGTGTGAGTAGAATTGTGACATAATTTAAGTAACAAATGTGTTTCAGCTGTCATGATTGGTTGAATTATTTTTTATGCAGTCGGCACATGCGTTGAACTCCGAAATTCTCCTTTTCACTTGACTGACACTATTTTTTGGAATTGACAGAATTTAATCCCGGAATGTTCAATCGAGTATCCCTATTATGTATTAACATAAGGTTTAGCTGGAAATCTGTATATTCAAGTTTACAGTACCAGATCTACCTGAAGCCTAAGGCCTTGAGATACAAGAGGTCTCCAGCTGATTAATAAGGTGTATAATATTTTTGACAATGTTATCATCCTTGGCATTGCTCAATTGTGTTTACAGCACCCATTCATCTTGCTCTAGTCGTAAGGGTGGGGGATTGGGGAGAAGCCCCATCAGTGGAATAGCCTAGGGCACTGCTTGTTTGGACTTCATTATGAATTTATTATTTTATTTTACCATTAAACGAGAGACAGCATCATTATGAATTTAATTATCTATTTATTGGTATATTTTACCTTGAGAGGTGAGACAGCATTATTATGAATTTAAATATCTTTTAATTGTTATAATTTACCTTGAGAGGTGAGACAGCATCAGGACTGGGTATTATAGCAGGTGCAATTAAAACTACACCTTTAAAAAATGTTGGTCTTTTCATGGCTGCCATTATACTTATTGCACCACCCTGAAAAATAACACCATAGTTCTTTATTTTGAATGAAGCCTGTATATCATTATAGGCCCGGAACGCTTACACCACCCCGATCAGAACCCAATGAACCCTCTCCCCCCTCCCTCCACCAGTACTCAATGCCCCCCCCCCTCTCCCTACCAGTACCATTACAGGCCCTGGACGTTTACGGATTCATTCACTTGATTTGATATTTGTTGTTAATTTCTTGAAATGTAGTTTGTCTTCAACTTAGAGCAGGTTTGTGTTATCGTTAATCGTTAGCGCACAGTGTGGTATTTGACCACCTCAACCATTACACAATATACTGCCACTCCCTCTCCCCGACCAGGATACAGTGGCTACTTCCACCATCTTGACCAGTACTCTGTTATCACTTACACCACCTCGACCAGTACTCAATGACCCCCTCTTCTCCCCTACCAGTACTCAATGACCCCCCCTCTCTCCTGACCAGTACTCAATGACCCCCCCCCCTCTCTCCTGACCAGTACTCTGTTACCACTTCCACCACCCCGACCATAACTCAATGAACCCCAACTAACCAGCCCTAGTCACTACATGAACTGAGTTACTACTTCCACCACTCCGACCAGTACCGGGTGTCGTCCACCCCTCAGACTAATACTCAGTGACTTCCACCCCCTCCCCCTCCCCCAACCAGTACTCACCATGGAATGTCCGATAATAAAACAAGGAATGTCCGCATCAAATTTTTTCTGGACATCTTCTATATGTTGAAATACATCTCTCACGTAATAATCAAAATCATCGATATGAACTCGAGCACCTTCACTCTGTCCATGACCAACTAAAATAATCAATATATTAATTTGGGAATTTTGAATATTATTCACCATGTCTTGATGTCCGATTGGGCATATTCCCGGTCGGACAATTTTGGACGTTTGGAAAAAAGATTCGGACAAGTCCGGAATATACGGGCAAAATCCCATCACTGGTTCAAATCATTTTTAAAAAACAGTTGTGGTGGTGAGTACATATAGTCATTTGTAAATGAATAGATAAACCGTTGGCCAGGTCTAGGGACTCATCTTTGACGAACCTATAGTGTTGGCCAGGTCTAGGGATACATCCATAATCGGGAGTTGACCAACCTACAGTGAAACCCAGGTCTTGTATTCTTGAGTCATAGGGGACCAATTGGAAGGGCTGAGACTATTTGCCAGAATATTTTCTTTGTCACCCTAATGTTCAGAATGAATCAATCATTATACAATTCAGAATGAATCAACCATTATTTAATTATATTTCTATGATATATGGTCTCATTCTCAGATGTTTGTGCCCGATAAAAGGGAAATACACTGCCCGAAAAATGCCCCCCCCCATCCCGGCCCCTACGCCTTTACCTATAGTGTTGGCTAAAATCTTTTAATAGGCCTCTTTTTAATCTGGAGATTATCTACTGAAAGAGAGAGAGAGAGGGAGGGTTTAACGTCCACTCGACACAAACTAGGTCATTTTGGGACTAACATTTCAGGGAAACTCATGAGGTTGGACAGGCGATCTTACTCCTTGTCTAGTACAAGAGGGTATTCGAAACCACGGCACTTGACTCAAATGAAAGACCTTGTGATCAAACGCGCACACGTTAACCATTCGCCCACCCAGCCCCCCTCCTGTGTTTAGTGAGCCAGCACCCTTATCACTGAGCCACTGTTGCTAACTCTATGTGAAGACAGAATCTGTCAGAGATTATAGATATTTCTAGTAAGTTATCTTGTTCAGATAACACAGTACACTTATTTTTTTTTCAACCTATTTTTAATATTATAGTAAGATTATATAATTAGATGTGAATTTTAATACCTTAATCAGTTACTCTTATGATTAACTTTTTTTCTGACCTATTTTAAATATAATAGTTAGCATATATTTTACATAATTAAAGGAGCCAAATCGCCAATATTTGAAACCTAGAAATTGACACAAATGGATCACAATGCATATAATATGAATGTATATAAACTGATTTTATACTTAAAGGAGCTGAATCGCTAATATTTGGGATCTAGAAATGGAGAGAGAGAGAGAGAAATGGGGTTTAACGTCCACTCGACACAAACTAGGTCATTTCGGGACTAACATATGGTTCAATTTTATTTCAATAATTCGCTTGCGCGTAGGGGTCTATAGCTGTGGGAGGAAACCGGAGGACCCGGAGAAAACCCACGAGGTTGGACAGGCTACCCTACTCCTTGTCATGTACAACCGGGGAATCGAAACCCGACCAGTTGACGCAATGACAGACCGTATGATACAGCGCGCGCGTGCTAACCATTCGGCCATCCAACCCCCCATCTAGAAATGGACACAAATGGGTCTCAACGCATATAATATGAATGTATATATGATTTACATTCAATCGTTTATGTTTTATTGAATTTCTAATCAATTATGTTTGGCGAAATGCACCAGAAGTCACAATCGAATGGCAATCTCTAGTGTCTGGTTATTCCAGTTTACACCGATAGTATTTATTACGCATGCTCTCCAGATAAGAATAAGCCTTCACCGTTTGACAGGTAATATCACAACATTAATATTGATTTAAATTGAAAAATAATTTGTGTTTTCAATGTCGAAGACTTTGGATGATATTGAGTTAGAAACTTAGCTACTTTAAATGTGAATATTAATAAATAGACCATCTAGATAAGGAAGGAAGTTATGTACTAACACATGACATCTCATAACATCCTCTTTTTAACCCATGTGACCTAGTTCTGTCTCAGACTTTAATTTAATTAATATCCAATAAAACCCAATATAGTAAAGATGCATTATGTAAGATTTAGATAAATGAAATAAAATGGGGTTTAACGTCCTACTGTTCTGCTCCTATACTGGGCTAATGAAGACGGGCATACGCCATACAGTGTGCTATGAGGGAAATTTTGCCCGAGCAGCGGCACTACTCTTATATTGAATTCCAACTGCCAAGGGATCTTTTACATGCATTCCAATGTATATACGGGACCTCGGTTTTTCGTCTCATCGGAAGGACTAAACAGCTGTCCTTGTCAGGCCCTCCGTTCTGCACCACTGACAAGGGGAAACCACGCCAGAAAATCCTGATGAACAGATTTAGATAAAGAGTTGGCCGTTCACGCTGAATCGTGAGAAGATGAATTGTGATACATTGATGGAACGATATATGGTACCAGCACTACTTTAAATCCAGGAGATTTTAGCTCAGAGCTCCGTAGCCACGGTGGCTCACTGGCAAGGAGGTAGCAGGTTCAATCCCGGACCCGGCATTGGTCGAAAAAGTTCATCATGGTTTCCACCATGGTTTCCCCTTGTCAGTGGTGCAGGAAGGAGGGCCTGACAAGGACAGCTGTCTAGTCGTTCAGATGAATAACCGAGGTCCTGTGTACACATTGGCGTGCATATAAAAGATCCCTTGGCAGTTGGAATTTGATATAAGAGTAGGCTGTAGTGCCGCTGTCCAGACAAAATTTCCCTCATACGACACTGTACGGCGTATGCCCGTCTTCACCAGTTGGATCAGAACAGAAGGACGTTTATTCTAGCTTAGAGCTCTAACAACAAGGTTGGTGATGATTGAATCTTAAAAGTTGAAGAGATGTAATAAAAGAATTGTGATTAGAATACATACTATGATCATGTGCGAATACGTAGAGATTTTTCTGTATAAGTTGTGATGCTAGTTCACCGTACCATAAACAGTGTTCCGCAGCTCCATGGGCAATAAAAACAAGACCACTGAAATTATACAAAATAAAATCAAGTTAAACATACATTATACAAGAGCTAAATCTGCCTATTGCAGGTCTTTCTTTAGGCCTGAAATGTTATCTAAATTATTAATTAGACATTAATTAACTTATCCAGACCATAATCACCTCTCGATGGCATCGCTAGCCTGTGATATTTATTGATTAGGTTCAGATTTGCTGTTCAACTTCCATTCATAATTTAATCATGGAATGGATAATCGAGACTATGTTTTTTATCCTAGCGACTTTAGTAATTATGATCGATGCTAGACATAAATTTCAAAGGCTAATATCTCGGTTCAGAGTGGATCAAATTGACTGAAATTTTCAGCAAATTATCTATTTTGTTACTATTATAGTAATCTCCCATAATGCCCCTTTACCATACTACTAGTATTCTGCACCATCCAGTATAATCAGGGGGATACTGACAGACCTGTGAAATAACAATGTATGTAGAAATTCCACTGCTCTGGCAAAGTTCCATCTGGCAATTTCATCACTAATAAGTATCAATTTCAATTTTGATTTTATTTTTTTAAATCCAATAGAGTACATGGCCTATTATAGCCTATGAAATTTGTTTCGTAGTTCATCATTGGACCTAAAATAATAAACTTGAAGCCAACATTTAAATACAGACACCTGAATAGTTCTAAAGGTCAGGGTCATTGCAAACATTGTTGACAAATCCAGGTGAAATAGAGCGTAACTATATGTACAGCAGGTACACCTATTTTACTTGGGTTGATTAGTCGATATATATCACTGGTCATAATAGGAGTAGCTTGGGCTTAAACAATGTTACATTCATTAGATATGGTTCATTTATTCTATGAATGCTTGACTAATTCTATATAGCATTCTTGAATTTACAAACTTAACATACAGATGTGATGCTATCCTTTGATGTGACAACTGTACATCATTGAAATATTGAATGTGATGATTTCATTGAAATGCACATCTGGGGAAAATGTCAGTATTTTTAATTTGTTAAAGTCCTTACGCAGTACCAAAATATTACTTAATGTCACGCTCACCAAAATTAAAAAACACATACCGGTACCTTAAATATAATGAATTGATCTATGTATTATATCACTTGTAATCACTGATAGCAGTAGCTGTAGTTCTTAATAAACTTCTTAATAAACTTCTAATACTGTGAGTGGTTGGGAATAGCATCCTGTGTTTTAATGCACAATGATTTATAGCTACAAGAAGGTAGCTAAAAACGTTAAGATAGGATTTTTTTTAGCCATGATTGGGTGCCTTTAGATCCAAGTGGCAAACTCAGTTTCTTTATTAATGCATGTAACATCTTAAAAATAAGATAATTTTATACTATTATGACCAATTACACTTACAGAGGCCAATGTAGTGGCACGACTATCGCCCAACTCCAAATATTCGCGTTTAAATTAATGAAGCATTGTTTTTATCCGACATACACCGTCATAACAAGTTAAAGCCTCGATTTTAATACAATGATTTGATTTATACCCGATTCAGGTAGGATTATATATGCTTAATTGTAGTTTGATGTGGCAGAAATATTATAAATAATAATAATCAATAATCGTTTTGATGAAAAATATTGTCAATTTTGCTTACTGAGGTCTGATGTGATTTGCGTTGGGCTTTGCTATGTGGAACTATATATAGCACCATCTCTTATCTCGAAACATGGAGGGTTGACAGATGAGGTTTGTTATCTAAATGATTCAATGTATTGATCTACATTTATAAATGTCTATATTCACAACTGTGATTAATCACTAAATCAATAACTTATCTAGAAAACAATAAAATATAAAATGTTCGTAGAAGACTTTTGTCATTTCAATCAAATTCTGTTTTTATTTAATTACTAAATTAGATTATTTTAAACATGTGAATAAAGTATCACTAGAACAATATGGGTCAAATTGTAGGCCTTAACTCCAGTGAAAATATTTCAAATTATATGTTGACAGGTAGTTTATTCTCTTCCTGTTAGGTATGGTATTAAATATCATCTATTTTTACTATCAAACAACACAATAAATGAAATCATCAACACAATAGTTTCTCTCATGTTGATTTAATACAGGTGAGGTACACCTTAATTAGGTCTAAATGTGCAATAATTTCTGGTAAAATAGGTCTAGCTTTTAATAGTAATGCACTATCTGCTTGACTTAATATTAATACAGGTATGTAATGCATGTAATAATGTGTTGTGTCAGTATAGGATCTAGCTGTAATTATGTTAGTAAAAAATGGGTTATAAATGACTGCATGAAGTATTTTTGAATATATTTGTTAGAAACTTAGACATAAATTTATCTGTTTAGCTATTATCCATTCAGATATTACAAGGATATTTGTGATTAATCTTTATAAGAAAGGCAAACGATAATCTAGCCCTAGGAGAATTAACCATTTTACCTGGGTTTTGTTATTCCAGCGTCGTCTCCCCAATATCTACAAAATATCGACTGATTATCGGCATTTGTCATCCATTTTTCACTTGTCTTCTCTTCACTTACTTCGTATTTTGTTTGAGCCATGATTTTAATTCAGATTTTCTCGCGTTTTTATGTCTAAAGGTAGTTATAAGTCGACTGAATGACCTCCCAGCCTTTGGACACTCTCTCACAAGCTGGTCACAGTTCTGGTCCACAAGGGAAACAACTCACTTTTACAAAACGTAAAATCAGACAAAAGAGGGCGGGGCTGTGTGATTAAGAATAAAATTGTCTTAAAGGGACAATAACACTCTTGCTGGCTTGACAGCTCCAGAAAATAAATAATAGCTTTATTCTAAGTATTAGATGTTTATGTGTCCTACCTGTTGTGTAAATTATCCATTAAATCCTATTGTACTTGTCCAGAGGGTTCAAAAATATTTTTAAATCCAAGTCACATTTGACAAGCTTTACGTCAGGCTTTTCAAATCATTTAGTTGAATTTTTCCAATTTTTTAAATTAGGTGTGTTAAGATGAAATTTGTATCATCAATCAATTGGAATATTGTAAAATAGTACAATTTGTTGACCAGAATAAAGATTGGGACATATTATTCAGTTACAACAAGAGTGGTATTGAGCCTTTAAATGAAGAGCTACCTTTCCGTGGTAATATTTTTTCAGACGCTGTTAGATAACAGTTACACACTTTAGACCACTCGGCAAACCCCACACCCTTTCGAACGCCATTAATTTGCTGGGATTCTGGTCCTGAATTAATGATAATAGATATAATGAAGAGCACTACACAATCAACTTGAGATTCTTTTCTTGTGATTAAATCAGATAAGATTATAATAATATTGACACGTGATTAACTCAATTAGGTTTATCATCGTTCCAATGACACGTGATTAACTCAATTATGTGTATCATTTACCCAATGTACGTTTTATTTTTTAAGCCCGTTTCCACTTATGGGTTATGGCGGCGTTTCCACACAAGGTTCGCTGATTGCAATGAAATGGTCTCATTACGCTTGCATTAGACCGACTTTTCGTAGGCGAGAACCCGCGCGGAAACGCCAGGAGAACGCGTACATGGAAAACTGGCCTTAGTATAGTAGTCGACCTAAGTTGAGATATCTGTCTTTTTGTAGGGACGTGATTAGTAAATTTGTGAGATTTTAATGTAGTACAAAAATAAAACCATTTTAATTAGATTAAAGAGAAGACGCTGTAGGAACTGATTTTAATAAAATATTGTTACTTTGATGAATTATTTTAGGTTGAGATGAAAACCAAGAGATTTTGGTTCGTCATAGAAGAAGGAAAAGTGTCACCCTGTTTCGCGTCCTCCTCGTGCCCTCGTTAGCACGATAAGGAATGTTCAAAAGTTGTTAACATCGATATCTGTTAAATATTCATGGTCCTTATATTCACTATGCTCTCTCTCTCTCTCCCTCTCTCCCCCTCTCTCTCTCTCTCTCTCTCTCTCTGGTTTTTGGGTGTATTCATTATATTCTATTTCTCTCTTGGCAGTGGGTATATTCATTATACTCAACCGAGGGGTTATTTTCATTTTTATTGTCTTGGGGACACGCGCCTTTCCAGTGGGAAGGAATCGGAGTAGAAGTTGTTCCACTACTGATGTCTTCCGTTATTTTCTTCTTCTTTTTTCATCAAAACTTTAGTATAATAATGCAAAACGTTTCTTGATACATAACTTAAATATGTCTAAAAATACATGTGTAGACAATTATAGTACAATACAAATAAATAACATATTTAAATAATATAATATATACTCTACCGGGCTTGATCATCAAATTACACAGAATATTCTAACCTAACTACACCGTATATCCTTCTTTAGGTTGGGGGGGGGGGGCGTGGCGTGGTTTCGAATCCCCGGTTGTACGTGACAAGGAGTAGGGTCGCCTGTCCAACCTCGTGGGTTTTCTCCAGGTCCTCCGGTTTCCTCCCACTGCTAAAGACCCCTACGCGCAAGCGAATTATTGAAATAAATTGAACCATATGTTAGTCCCGAAATGACCTAGTTTGTGTCGAGTGGACGTTAAACCCCATTTCTCCCTCTCTCTCTCCCTTCTTTAAGTATAAAATGCAGATCAGAGTATACATGTGCTGTAATTTGTTCGGGGGTGGGGTTGGGGGTGCTTTGTGTTGTACCTTTATAATTAAATTTCATATTTCCATTCGTCTACGATTGTCTTGTTGCCAACAAACAAATCCAGCTGTCTTTGACACAGTTCTCATAAAGTTGAGGTACTGATCTTTATTTGGGAATTTATTTTTAATTTTACAATCATAGATGTAATATTTTGTAAGGAGGTTAAATGTCGTTAAACATTTTTATATTATATACTCCTAGATGTATTGCTTCTTGACAGATTATGGTATTAATATTGTTTTTTAAGGATTTCAGACAAATTGGTTAAATATGGGTTCCCAGAAAAGAATTTATCGGGTGGTTATTTCCAATAAAAGTATGGTGATTTTTTTATATATGGAAAGTAGAGGTATCCAATCTTACTAGAAAAATACTGGATTCCCCGAAAAACACTCATGGAGCGTATACAGGACAAAAATGTAAGGGTTCCCCGACGATTAGGAATTTCTGCACACGTGATGTCAAAGGTCACACGCGCACATTGAGCGCTTGATGTACAAGTTGATAAACTTTATGAAGAGTCAATCTGGTTAAAACACACATCCTATTTCGTTTAGTTTTTATAGTTCAAAATTTCGTTTTACTTGTCTTTACTACACTTGGATCTAGAAGAGTTGTTATTTAACTCGTGTTCTGAATAGTGTCAGGGATAAGCCAATGAAACGGTCTGTTACGGCGAGCTTTAGGCGTGTTTTTCACGGAACTGTGGGTAATCCACTAGTAACATCAATGCTGATTGGTTAATCAAATGTCTGACGTCAAAAGGGTCACTCGAGTCGACACCAGACCGTTCGCGTTTTGAATCGAGTTGGTCACATGACTGACTCGAGTCGCATCACGTGACTAACCCGCTTACTCCCCATTGAGCGGAGAGTAAAAGGGTTTGTCACGTGACAAAATGGCGTCCTATACGCAAAAAAGCCTGTCTCTCGATCACATACTGACGTCGTAACAGTTTTGATGTCATGTGACTACTCGGACCGTTCAGGATGTTTCACCCGGGTAAACTCGGCAATGGAGTCGACTCGAGTGACGCGAGTAAACGACGAAAACCTTACCCTAGTGTAGGCCATCGAAAGTATAAAAAAAACGAAACGAAATATAGATCTGTATTTTAATCTGATTGTTGAATAGTTAGACGTACAACACTTTCTGAGATAAAAATCACGGAAAAAGGCGCGGGTAGTGGATAATCCGAGAATTTAATTAGGATTCCATATTTGTAATAAATAGTAAGCGATTCAAGACAACATCGTCTTATGTATGCAATGAATTCTCCTCTCACGTCCAAGAGAGGTAAGTCAAGTGACGTAAACATATTGACCTGGTTTGATTGAATTTTGAAAGCAGGACATTCCTTCGCAATTACAATGTTTGAGAAGGATTTGAAGCAACGTTATGACAAATTAATTAGTTTGAATATGTTTTTAGTCCATATATACCATTAAATCACCCAGTTTGTACGCGGGAACCCATCTATAATATTGTTTGTGTTACTGGACATAAATAGAATAAGTGTTCCTGGGTTTCAAGGCATGAGTTACAGAGGGCAGAAAGAGAACTCTCAGTAAATTTGAGTTTACATAGCTTTGCATTAGTGTATATTATTCTATGTATATACTTATAATCTAAGCTGCGCATTTTTGTATTACAGCATACAGTTTTTTGCTAACGTAAATATTTTTTTGGTTTCTATATTATCAATAGTGGTATTTAGAATGGTTTGCCACTGGTTTATGCATTTTGGTGTAACAAATGATTTTTCTACTCTTACATTATAGATATCCTTCGATTTTATGTCAAATACTGTTTTGTTATATATATCCTTTAGATGAATGATACTACCATCTGTTATTGTATTCTTTTTGAATGCTGTTATTTTTTCATAGTTCACAATTGCCTCTTAATAGCATGTGCTACTTGTTTTAATGCACCAATATTATAGTTTTCAAAACTTGTATTATTTGTATTGCTAATGATATCTGCTACATACAGATATTTATTTTGGATTAAGACTTTATCAACTGTGTTTATTGTTCCAGACAATTTGTTTTTCAAGCGGATAATTAGTATATATTTCATACCAGTTGGTTAATAATTCTGTATAGAACGGATTTTGTATTTGTATGCCTTTTTCATCATTACAAGCTGGTAGAACAGTTCATCCATATCTTTGCAAAATTAAGTTAAATGCAATAATCCATGACAGATCGTTGTTTGAGATTATTTTCTTTATCCAAAAGATACACTGACACTTTAAAAATTCTTTTAGATTTAACATGCATTGACCTCCACTTGGTATATCCTGGGTAATAACACAAATATTTATAAACTATTTGATTAAATTTAAATATTATGTTTTTAGGAACTTATAGTGCCAAGGCTGGATATGAAATCTTTGGTAGACAGAATGTCTTTATTATTTGTATTTTTTAAAATTATTGTTAAGTGTCTTTTATTCCATCTTGTTATAACAGATTCTATATCTAGTAATTTATTTTCAAAGTTTATGTTATCACGCTCACTTTGATCTAGTGAGATGTAGATTCCGAGTATTTTAACTGGTGTTCATCTGATTTTAATACCTAGGCTTTCTATTTGATTAGTAAATTTATTATAGGGTGTAGTCACATTCAGAGTTTCGGTTTTTGAAAAGGACTAAAGGCTGTGATTGTGCAACTTTTATTTACTTGTATATTAAAACTTAAACCTGTGTAATGGTGTAAGATCTGGGGAATTACCCGAGACTTTGATCCAATCGAAAACTCTGAGACATGTTACTGTTCTAGGTTAATGTTATTGAAGGATATTCAGTATAACCACTAAAGGCTGTGATTGTGCAACTTTTATTTACTTGTATATTAAAACTTAAACCTGTGTAATGGTGTAAGATCTGGGGAATTACCCGAGACTTTGATCCAATCGAAAACTCTGAGACATGTTACTGTTCTAGGTTAATGTTATTGAAGGATATTCAGTATAACCACTAGAGATGAAGGATATTCCGGGTTGACGCAAAAAACGGTGG